TATCTCCGAAAGCTTTTCTCTGAAAATCCTTTCGGTTTATTTGTTTCTCCACAAGTAAGAACACTAGGCGGTCCACAGACTTGCATTTTGTATTTGCGTATCTCACTTCGGCAAGGACAAAGAGGGCGTTTGACCTCGGGTAGGGTTGGGAGGCTTTGTTGAATTTGGAAAAGTGTTTTAAGAGAATACAAATTCTGTTTCGTTACATTATTAATAAGAAAATATTTATTGAGTGTAAGTTGGTAGGTGGTACACCTTAAATTCTGTAGGTCTCTGAAGTAAAACAACTTACCAAAATTGATATTATTGTAAGTGTTTGTGTCCTTAAAATAGTAATCTATTTATAGGCACAAACTGAAGTCAAGGTTCGGATAAAGCTTTGAAGTTTATTAAATACGTAAATATAGGAATATGACAAGAATGAGGATTTTAACCGAGTTTGTCAACAGAAAAACTACTTAAATTAATGACTAGTATTGATTTAGGTACTACTCATTTGTAATTAGAACAAAAACTTGAATCAAACATAAATCAACATATACTAGGGTTGACATTGCTTTTTATAGAAAACTGATTTCTATAGCCAAATCGCTTTAGCTAGTAACGAGATTACCATGGTCGAGTGGACGAACAAAGTTAAATCCTTTTTTATTGTCAACCCTACGTATTTTAGCTATGAGATTTGTTTGTGGGAACACCCACAGCTTCAGCTGCTTTGTTTAACTTGTGCCTCGTTGAAACGCTTTTTTCCATCAGCTGTCTCACTCTTTTATTTTCAAGCACTTTCTTTTAACAGTTTTGTTCAAAAGTGTATCGCTAAAGGCTTTGAGTGTCGTGGTAGAAAAAGTTTGGAGTGTCTAACGAGTTTAAGCCGCAAGTTGGTTGCAGTTTAGTGTGGAACAGATTTTGTCCAGAAACAGGCGAGCACATTAAACATTGCTTAGTCGGTGGTAGTTTTGCATGGTTTTATTTATTGGCAAAAATGTTTAGCGATATTGTTGAAATATACAATTAATCTTACACTATTATATAAACCTGAAATGTTTGTTTGAACGCGCTAATCTCAGTAACTACTGGTCTGATTTGAAAAAGTATTTTTGTGTTCGATCGTTCCTTTATCGAGGGAAGCTGTAGGTTAAAACATCACGCTACGGACAATAGGCGACAAACAGAGCGGATGAAGCCGCGCATGAGTACCTAGCTTGTTTTTGTAATAACTATCGTGAGACACAGTGAATTAATAAAATAAAATTAATGGTTGGTGCGATGGTTAGGCAACTGGCCGCCGCGCAACGCGGTTCGAATCGATTTCCGCACGGAATTAATTTATTATTAATTTAATGTAAAAGTACTTGCGTTTAAATAACTTTGGTAGGTAGGTTGTGACGTCACGTATTAAAATTATGGTTCTTCGCGACGGCGCGCGGTCGAGTTTAGTGTTACATTATAAATGTGCATCTCTGCTTAACTCATTGATGTATTTATAACGCGTATCTACCTATGTTAAATGCTATATAAATCATATGTAAAACCAGGTGCATGGAATGCATGAATGTGATAGAAGCTGAAAAGTATGTAAGGTTCATATTTAGTGGCTCTTAATGATTTCGGTAGGTATAGTTTTAACCCAAAAAAATATGAATAAAGTAAGTTGACTGCACAGTTGGCGCGGTGGCTGGGCAACTGACTGCCGTGCAGCGTGTAGCGGGTTCGATTCCCGTACGGAACAACTCTTTGTGTGTTCCACAGATTGTTGTTCCGGGTCTGGGTGTCATTTGTATGTGAACTTATGTTTGTAAACGCACCCACGATACAGGAGAAAATCCTAGTGTGGGACAAAGTGTAAAAAAAATCTGCTGTCTAATAATTGAATATTGATCCTTGTTCTGATAAGTCATTCACACGTAAGTAGATATTTTCCTATTATACATATGTGGTTGACTTCTATAAATTCTTAAGAGCATTTTCTTGCTCTAGATTACTAGATAGTGACAAACAAAATTTTTCTTACATCCGTAATGTAATAATTTCATTCCAGATATATTGTTCCCAAAGGTGGCGCATAACTCCGAGAGATAAGTATCAGGATCCACTCTTCAGGGATTCGCTTCAAAGATTTACGATTCCTTATCCATGCAATGGGTCCTAAAAATGTGTGATTTATGACCGACTGCCGGTATTAGGTACCGAGCAGTTGAATTGGATTTATTATATAAACTATGTAGTTTCAAGTCATAATTCCAACACAGTGTGTGCGAAATGATTTTTTCATCTGTTTTATTACTTAATGTCTTTTTATTCCTTCATACAGCTGGGAGTTCTAAAATTTTATTATGTACGTAATTGGTTTTATCTGTTTTGATATTTTTATGTTTACTTTTAGTGATGTTTTATGATTTTGCTTATGTTTTCATTTCAAGTTTATTACGCGACTCACGGACTAGTCCCGAATTTACTCTTGGTGTCAAATGACCATTTTATTGATAACTAAAGTAAAACATCCTAATAATACTTTTCTATGTAATAGTTTCGAATCAAATACCTCATGTTCAGTAGTTATATTATCCACTGGTTGATCAACGAACTGTCTATTATTTGTTAACGTGGACACCAAGTGCCCATACCTATGTTACAGTCGCATCGTACAGTTTACATATTTTCACCTTGCTTCAATTCGAGGCATGAACCAACCACATTTCCCATTCAACGCCATCCTTAGAAACCAGTCACGCAGCACTTACATTTTTCTTTCAACGCGCTAGTAAAATATGCGTGTACTGTAAGCCAGTACTGGCGCGTGTAAACTGACACTCGGTGCTTGTTCACGTAGAATGAGCGGCGCGGTAGCGGGTGCGGTTGCGGTGGACGTCGCGAACTTGTGTTCACGTTAACCGCTGGGTGTTTGCACAAGCGATATGTACAGACCGTGTGAACTTATATTACTTCGACGGCGCGATTGAATCCGGCGCTCCACTACTTCGACGTGAATACACACATAGCTACCTAGCCTAGCTAGCCTTTAGGCGGTTGATACCTCTGTGAGCGGGTCATACGCGCCAGTTGTTCAGTTGCCCGCTACTTATACCGCACTTGCGCTTTGTACCGACCGCGCCCGCGCACGCGCCCGCTTGTCAGCGTGGACAAGCAGTAGTACACTTACATAGCGGTGATGACTTGCTCGCATACTCGCATTCCATGAAGTGCTATGCTTTGTTTACGTTTTATTATTTAGCGAGTTTACGCCTCACATGTTAATAAAGGGGAATGTACGAGCCAGAAATAATTAAAATAAAAACTGGAATGTGTGGCTTAAATGTCTGGGAATGAAAATGTTATTTTCCAAGTTAGGGCATGTCATCATGCCGCTGTGCCTTGTGTTATGCGGGATATTTTATGCGAAACGTGAAAAATTGTTTTCGTTGCTTTTGTGAGGTGACTTGGTAATCTTTGTGGTTTACTTTTCTTTATTATAATTACTGTTACGGCATTATTGTCTTTTAGTTCCATAATACCATGCTAACTATAACACAAAGAGTGAAAATCAGATTTTTAACCACAGCATCACTATAACTTCTACCGAGCTCAACATTCTTGACGTAACACTACCTTTGTTTCTCACTCTTGGCTCTTCAGTGATCTGTATAAGAGCTATATCAATCTTGGGTTGGTACTTCGAGATGCTCCCTGTGGCGGCTCATTTCGAGTCGAGGGGTTGACGCGGCGAAGCGGCTAAAGCGCCGTCAACGGCGTCAAGAGGCACAGCCATTGACTACGCAACAATAACGCCTAATAGCAGGCCAGATTTTAACGATGCTTTTTCGAGCCAGGAAAATGTATAGAGGGGTTTTAAGTACGGATTTTTCGTGAAGCACCTATCTGAATTTTATAATCTTGATCGTTTTTGGATATCCGTGCTTGTGGAATGGCGTGAAATGGTGGGGTTTTCGGTCAATGGACTTGAGAATGTTTGGGTGTTTCTTAAAACCGGTATTTTCAATTGCTACCATTGTTCATCATCAACAGCCTGCTTTCGTCCACTGCTGGACATAAGCCTCTCCATTGTTCATAATTAAATTAAATTAAATTAAACAAAAACATGTAAGTTTTAGAGCTAGATTGATATTATCAATCACAAGTATTACGACTTCACGACATTTATTTGGTTAAAACTAATATTAAAGAAGTAGATACCCATTAAAATATACAACATCGTCCACTCATCATAGATAAAAACGTACTTAATCAATGCTTAAACAAATAATCTCAGACCGCACAATCACTAAATGGATTTACTAAAAGTTATCGATAAATATGACCGAAACGACCCGAAAGTCACACAGATTATTATGACGTCATACTTCTTATTCTTTAAAGGGTTTAGGAGTGACGTAGTTGAGCCGTTTAAATGTACAATTGACAATGTGAAATGAATCATTAGGTATTGATATGAAGTGAGTAGCTCATTTCAAAGCGAAGATTCCTATGGAGAAGATCGAACAACAACGTTTATACTATTATGGGACATATCGATCGACTGCACGGTTGGTGCTGTGGCTGGGTAACCGGCTGCCGTAGAACGTGTCGCGGGTTCGACTCCCGCACGGAACAACACTTTGTGTGATCCACAAATTGTTGTATCGGGTCTGGGTGTCATGTGTATGTGAACTTGTATGTTTGTAATCGCACCCACGACACAGGAGATAATCCTAGTGTAGGGCAACGTTTTTTTTTTAAATATTATTATATTATTAGACAGGATATAATACTTGCTTGAGAACACGTACTCCATGAAGAAGAACAACATACCTATTAAGATAAGCCAATAAAATTCGTCCAATTCTCATTGCTTATCATACGATAACAAACATTATATCAACGTAGAGAAATTAGTTCGATAACATACTTTGTTTTGTTCGCACGACGCGTCGGCGCTCCTTCGCGGTATATTATCGTCGTATTATCTCTTAAGTGATGAAATAAACGTAATATTTAATATTAAAATGGCCGCTAGTTATGTTAAAAGATGGTTGAGTGTTGAGGACAAAGTTTTCTTAGTGACTGGAGGCGCGGCAGGTGTTGGTGCAGGGATCGTGAGGGCGCTCTTGCATGAAAATGCTAGAGTAAGTAAATATTGTCTGATGTAATTGTTAGCGAAGATAGTTATATAGTGCTTATTTTATTGTAATAAGTGTACCTTAATCTAGTCATTTTGGTTAAGATCGTAGGTAAGTTTTGTAAAGAAAGTTGTGAGATTTAAACTGTCAAACACCGCGAGGACACCGGTGACCGCACACCCATTGTTCTTATAATGTTGTGTTTATAATGACGGTACTTAAAGAGTTTAAAAAATGTGTTTGCGTAAAAATGTGTTTGAGTAAGCACTATTTTGGCACTTGTTTGATTCATATTGGTTGATAGACTTAATTTAACCCGTAGTTTGTATTTTTTTTAATGTAAAGATACTAAGCGTACTGTTAAGTGTACTGTTTTATTTTCAAACTGGGGATAAATCTAAATTATGTACCACCACGTAGGCCCAATACCATTTCAATAGAATAGCAATTTGTATAAAAATGGGTGTAGAAAAAAAAACAAAATAACCAATTTTTAAGATTGAAGGTAAATTTTTCATCTCGTACGTCGTTAAATAAAAATTAAACTGATTACTCACGTGAACATACTGAAAAAAGCTATCATATTATCAGTATATTTAAGTGAGTTACCCGTGGTTTTTAGGTAATTCAGTATGTCTCACGATAGTTATTATAAAAATATAGTACGTCGTTTTTACAATTCAAAAACTTTATCACAATTTTTGCATTTTATTTAAATGTACATTTCAATAGATAGATTATAGTCATCATTACAAAAGATACAATACAAAAATAGATACAGTACAATAGACAAATGCTACGAATTCCTAATAGAATGAATGTTATTAAGTCATCTACTAAAACAATAGAAATTATCTGTAAACATTGCTGTGCATCGTCAAACATTGCTGTCGTACTCCTAGTGATATACATAGTTATTAACCGATAATGGAGAATTGGAGTTTTGTTATGATTTTATGTGTCCATAGAGCAAAATATAATACCTAGAGATAAATAAAATTGGAGTGTGATTGTAATATTGAAATAGCCGCCTTTTACTACATGCATATACATAACTATATCTATACAATATAACATTTTTTAAATTTGTATCTGTCTGTCTGTCTATTTATACGGGTTAATCTCTGAAATGGATGGATCGATTTTGACGGGACTTTTACTGGCAGGTAACTGATGTGCTAGGGAGTAACATGCGCTATTTGTATATTGGAAAATTGTAACAAAAAAAATTGTCCTAAAACTCATATTCTACGCGGACAAAGTCGCGGCAACAGTTAGTGTAATGTACGTTAAATTAAAAATATGACTATGGTTTTATATCCAATGCATTATCAACTTTGTTTTCGAAACATTAAAGTTGTTTTTCAAATAAACTAAATCTCTTGGTACCTTGACATGACATTGACTCTTAATTCACTGATATTGTTAAAGACACACCCCACATGACGGAGACAATGTCGTTGATAAGAAGTAGGATAAAAATATTGACATGTGATAAGGACGCTAAACGAATTGATACGTTTTTTAAATAATGATTTCATCATATTAAATTCATTGTAAAAATTACTTTACTTAATTTATAATTAGAAATTATAAGGCCCAGGTTTCCTCACGATGTTTTCCTTTACTGTTTGTTAGTGGTGTCTAAATAATCTTAGAAAATACATATAATATATAGCAATAAGTCACATTAGTACTTGTTGTTGGTTTTGAACCCGCACCCTCATGCATGAGAAGCGGGCGTCTTAAACCTCCGGGCCACCCCGACATATGCCATGTCAGTATGCCTTTAACTATTCACTAGATAAATATTCAAAAAATGCTTACTCCTCTGTAATATTTATTTATTTTTATTTAATAACTTTCTAATGTACACAAAAATAAGGTACCTACATAAGGCGGACTTAATGTCATACGGCATTTTCTCCCAGTCAACCTTTGGGTTAAATAGAGAATCAGCGAGAATAGGCTTGTGTAATATGCAGTAAAATAAAACAAAATAGACAAGTAATAGTAATTATAAATACTGTATAACATATTTAAAATAAATAAACACAAAATATATAATAAATACAAAATTATAACATCTTAGAAAACGAAAAAAAATGTCGTGGTGGCTCGGAGGTTAAGACGCCCGCTTCTCATGCATGAGGGTGCGGATTCGAAACCTACCAACGGCAAGTACCAATGTGACTTTTTCCGAGTTATATGTACTTTCTAAGATTATTTAGACACCACTGACAAACGGTGAAGTAAAACATCGTGAGGAAACCTGGACTTATGATTTCTAATTATAAGTTTGAAATCGCCAACCCGCATTGAGCAAGCGTGGTGATTAATGCTCTAACCTTCTCCGTGTGAGAAGAGGCTTAGCTCAGCAGTGGGCATTTAATGGCTGTTGATGAACATATTAGATTAAAGTCAACAACTTACGTATTATGTGAAACATTATTATAATTTACAAATTAAGTATGTTACGAAAACTCCATCTTAGTCGGCAACATTTTCGCAACGAAAATGCAACTGGTGGACCACAGATATACAAACTCAAACGAGATCTAAAATTCCAAACGGATTACCGAAAACATTCAACTAACAAAACTTTGCAAGTCCAGTTTGTAAACACACGAGTCACAAACTGCAAAATGGTAATTTAAATAACAAAATATTAAACTCTAGTTCAATGAAACGATGTGTTATGAAATCCACCATTTTGTGTAGTAACACTATAACTTCAGAACTACACAGTAGTGTAGTTCTGAAGTTATAGGGAACTAGCTTTTACCCGCGGCTTCGCTCGCGTCACAAAAGGATAAAAAGCCAATGTGACATATACCAATACACACAGCGCCATCTATACCAATACTTTTGTTTTTCCTCGGGAATATCAAAATCAAATTTTTCCGGGATAAAAAGTAACCTATTATTTAATTCAGACTTCTAACTTTACGTCTGCAAAATTTCAAAGCAATCGGTTTAGTAGTTACGGCGTTAAAGTGGAACAAACAAACAAAAGCTTTAAAGAAATATTTAAGAGTAACATGCCAATCAAATTGAAGACAAAGGTCATGAATTCCTGCCTTATACCATGCCTAACCTATGCTTGTCAGACATGGAAGTTCAACAAAAACGTCAAAGAAAAAATTACAACGTGCCAACGAGGAATGGAGAGGAGTATGCTTAACATTAAGAGAATAAACAAAATAAGACATACAAAAATACGTAACATTACAAAAGCAACAGACGGTTTAGCACAAGCTCTGGCGTTAAAATGGAAGTGGGCCGGACACATAGCACGCCTGCAAGATCACAGGTGGACAAGAAAACTGTTAGAATGGAGGGGGCCAATGGGCAAAAGAAAGAAAGGGAGACCATACAATAGATGGGAGGATGAAATAAAACGCACAGCGGGACCAAACTGGATGCAAATAGCGCAAGTCAGAGAAAACTGGCTAAATTTGGAGGAGGCCTTTACCTGCAGAGGGGTTCCTACAGAAGAACATACATAGTATAACATACAAAAATCGTACATACAAAACTGGAAAAATCATTAACTTATAAACTTATTTAACTTTTATTTGTACATGTAATTAAAACTTTTGTTACGAAAAGAAAAAAAAAAAAAAAAAAAAAAAAAATTTAATTGGTATTGTAAGTGTACATTTTCTGAAGGAAATAAAAGGCTTTTTATTTATTTTATTTATAATTATTTTTAATGGTACAGTAACAAAATATGCATGTAGTTTCGCTTTTGATGTTCAGGTTCAAATCGATTTAGATAAGTTTTCTTGATAGATTGCACATCTAAAATCAGACGTGATGATCTTGCTAATAGAGTTACTTCATTCAAATTTCGATACACGTAAGGAATACTCGCCAAAAATATTTGTCCAATTTACTCCTAAGTCATAATTGTTACTATATTTACACGTAACACATATTAAGTACTAGCGATCCGCCCCGGCTTCGCACGGGTGCAATATGCATGTATCCATATAAACCTTCCTTAAGAATCACTCTATCTATTAAAGAAAACCGCATCGAAATCCGTTACGTAATATTAAAGTTCTAAGCATACATAGGGACAGACAGACGGCGGATAGCGACTTTGTTTTATACTATGTAGTGATCATGGAATATTAATAATTGTTTTAAACCACCTACATTATACGTATTATGTTACGCACAAAATTAAGTTCTGTAATAAATTGTTAGACTTCAATTTCCTTTAATTATTTTCCAGCACGTCGCTTTTCTGGATATTGCAGACAGAGAAGGTTCAGCTCTAGAGTCTGAGCTGATAACCAAGTATGGAGCTCTGAAAGCAAAGTTCATAAAATGTGACATTTCTGATGATGGACAACTCGCAGCCGCTTATAGACAGGTGCTCGACAAGTATCGTAGACTGGACGGAGTCATCAACAATGCTGCAGTATTGACGGTGGATGAAAGAAATATAAAGAGGATGGTAGATGTGAATTTCGTGAGTATATTTCTTTATATATTTACGACAATGTTGTTAAATAATAGACGGTGTTATCATAATATAGGTCCAGAATATATTCAGGATATTCTAAAAAACGATCCCCAGCAATCATCATAACATCGATGAAGGCTACCTAATCACTCAGATGGATTACTTTACGCTATATTAATTATCCTTTCAAAATGACTATAGATAATGATTTTAATGAGTTTTGGTATACAAATTAATGGGATTTAGAAGATGTAGTCACAATGCATTAAAATAGACAGGCAAAATAATTTATTTACCTTTTGAAATCGGTAAAAATAACATATCCTTTAAGCTGTTAGGGGCATCATCTTATTATTATATTATGTATATACTATAATATATACACCTAAGTTTTCAACTTATTGCACCGACCACGCTCTCACTGCATCATCTAAAGGTTGGCTAGTAAGAATGCCCACGCCATGAAGCCCACCCTTGTACTTTAGTTGCAAAAAGTTAAATAAATAAATGAATATCTTTTCCCATATCCTCTCGCGCGTATCTCGTACACACGGGTGTACGAGAGAGTTGAGTGCCCATCGCGCAATTGTACACACCGGTGTACGAGAAACGCGCACCAATTGGATATTTTTTCTGTGACGTGTATTTTTAAGTTAGCAACCCGTTCTTTATTTGATTGAACAGAATAGTTCATTCGCTTTCTATTAAAATATTTACCCGTGTGTACGAGAAATGCGCGAGAGGATATACATAGACAATAGAGAGTAAAATCTTTAATTAAACTACATCAAATAATATCTTGCCATATGCCTTAAATATGGAACTAATCATAGTGGCAAACTGCTGCGGTTTCTATCTGCGAACAAACCGACAGCTGATATTAATTTCTTCACTTATGAGTTCTCGCATGAGTAACACTGACTTATTTGCTTTTGATGTGATTTAATACGGAATGCTTTTCATGTAGTATTTTAATGGAAACGTTTTTGTTTTAAAACTCAGGTTAAATTGTCAAACACCGCGAGGACACCGGTGACCGCAACCTGTTGTTCTTTAATTGTGTCTATAATGACGGTACTCAAAGGGTTAAATAAAATCGCGAAGGGATTTGTACGATTGGAAAAGGTATATATTGGTTTGACCCACTTAAACTTTTTCTTTGAGCCTACTTTGTTGATTATGGTGCACGACTGTTCAGTTTGAAGTCTCGGGTTTAATCGTCCAGTAAGCAAGTGTTGTATAGTTTGCGAAGATCCCTTATAAAGTTCGTACAGAGTTTTGGAAATTAAAAATCTTGATAATATTTTGTCCGAAATGGAAATACAACTTCTTGTTTATACATACATAATATTACGCCTTTTATCCCCGAAGGGATGGGCAGAGGTGCACAAAATTACGACACTTAAAATCATTGTACAATGCAACACTCACTTTTCACTATTTATGTTAAGAGTCCCATGTAATAGGAGGTGAGCCTATTGCCATATACCGGCACTTTTCCAGACTGCGTGCTACTACTACTGAGAATTTTTAAAAAGCCCAATAATACTTTGCTCTGCCTGGGAATTACCAGAGACCTCTTACTCGACATTCGCACTTGTGACCACTCGGCCAACGAGACAGTCTTCAGTTAATGTGTATGTCTTGTGAATCAATAGCAACATGCTGTCATGCAATAACAGTACCTATTTACCTATTATAAACATTTGAACGACGCGCGACGCCACCTTACAAAATTATAAAAATTGGATCACGCGGAAAGATAATTTTAGTAAGCAAACAAAAACAAAGAAAAGTTATGAAACAAAAGAAACCTTGAATTATTTTTTGTTAACAAAATTACATTCCGGGCTACATTTTAGCTGTGAGGCGGAAATTGGTAGTAGCAAAATTGATTTTACAACATAAACAAAACAAAAGAAAGTAAACAATTCAAGTAATCCAATTTATTCGAGCATTACTAAGCAAATATTTTAAATCAAAATTAATTTACCTACTGTTAATAAAGTTATTGTGTTTTTGTTTGTTAAAGTTAGTATTTATTATACAAACTAAAATAGATATTGTGTTTGTTGTGTTCTGTTCGTGTTGCGTTTCGTCGTATGAGTGAGGTTACCGGAGGCTCAATTGCCCCCTTGCCCCCCATCCCTCCTGAATCCCCAACAATCCTCAAATTCCTAATCCCCAAACGGCCGGTAACGCACTTGTGACACCACGGTTGTTCATGGCCGACGCCGATTGCTTAGCATCATGTGATCCGTCTGTCGTGTCCGTTCATCCCATAAAGAATGTACTTAACATGTTGTTCTCTTTTTGCCCATGCAAATTTAAAACCTCTTCTGAAGTACTTAGTAATAGTAATATTCAAAGGCATTTAGATTTCGGTAGAATATGTGTCTTTATATTTTCCATTCACCTATCAGACGTCACGTCGTGATACGAACTCTTTTCTCTTCCACGGCATCCTTCACCCAATTTACCTTCTTACACCCAAATGAGAAAATCAGTCAGGTAAAAATGACCCCACGTCTTCATCATCCATTTCTATAAGATGTTGGGGGAAGTCCCGTAACGCCGGACGGCACCTAACGCCGGACACTTGTATTATCTCGATAACTGATAACAGGAGCGATTAAATTTTTACTAAAAATTTTAGTTCTCTGACACTGGGAGACTTCCCGCTAAAAATTGAATCGCTCGCTTTATTAGTTATCATATAAGTGTCCGGCGTTAGGTGCCATCCGGCGTTAGGGGACGTCCCCCTACTAAATGACTTGGCACTTTATCTTCCAGACTGCAACAGTCAGCAGTACAATGAAGGCGCTGGAAATTATGGGGGTCCACAAAGGAGGAGGTGGGGGCACCATTATCAATATTTCATCCTTGTTAGCACTCAACCTTGGCAGTCATCTCCCAGTGTACGCTGCTACTAAAACTGCTGTTCTACAGTTCAGTATTGCTATGGGAGTAAGTATTATTTTAATAATTAGTTATATTAGTTTAATATTTTTTTAGTAGGTATAGATTAGTATCAGGCAAATCTAAAAATTTGGATGGATGTATGTCTATATTATATCAATCATATGAATATCATGACGAGTGGAATTAGGGTAGGGAGGTCTTTGCCCTGCAGAGGACGTACGACAACAATGGCTAAAAATAAATAAATAAAAAATTATTTGGATAGTAATTCGGTCGGATTTAAAAAAATGTTTTTGTGATGAATAGTCCATTTATCGAAGAAGAACTGAAAGAAGACTGTAGATTATAACGAAAGAACATTACGCCACGGTCAATAGGGGTCGAGCAGAGCGGATAAAACAACGACGAAGTAGCTAGTCATAGAATAAAATTGAAAATTCCCATGACATAGATGTTAAGTACCCATGATACTATAGATTAAAGCGATTGTTAATTGATGGCAATTATACAGGTCCTTTAGAATGGTTGCGGTTTATTGTGTTTAATGTCTCACATTTAGTTCAGCCACTAATTGCAATGTAGCTAAAAATATCCAGCTCATTCGTAAATAATCGAAACTGGCATGTTTTAGCCAGAAACTTTTTATATGAAAACTAAGTTTTTTTTAATGGCATAAGCCGGTAAACGAGTAGACGGTTCACCTGATGGTAAGCAATCGGCGTCGCCCATGGACACCTAGAACACTAGAGGCGTTAGGCGTTACAACTGCGTTACCGGCCTTTTGGGGATTAGGAGTTTGAGGATCGTTGGGGATTCAGGAATTGGGGAGATTGGGGAAGGGGAGGGTAATTGGGCCTCCGGTAACCACACTGACACGACGAAACACAACGCAAGCCTTGCTTCACGTCGGTTTTCTGTGAGGCCGTGGTATCATTCCGGTCGAGCCGGTTAATTAAAGACTTATCTTAATCTTTTTCAAAGAAGATTTTAAAGGTCTCGGAAGAAAAGAACTTAATGCTGACCTCTGGTATTTGTTATATTCTTAATCTAAAGAGGATTACGTCAGCTGTTTTGTTGTTTAAAATAAAAGGCTACGAGGTCTAAGTTTTTTTAAGGTTAGTTTAAGGTATTTTAAGCAAAACATATTCTACCTCATTGGTTGTGTAAACTCCGATGAACCTTCCGAGCACAAAGCTCCAGCATCGAAGTCAGTTGATGTATTTTTCATTTTCAAAATTAACAACAATCATTAAAAACTTTGATTTGTATATTTTTCCCGTTTGTTGTCTGTGTTGTACATAATCAAGTATATAAGTCAATTAAAGTCAGCAATTTCACTTAGAGGTAGGCTCTTATGGAGGAAATCATGTGTATGACAAACCTCCATGGTCCTATAAAAAGATCATAAGACCATGACAAACTACATTAAGAATAAATATTAACATAACATAACATCACGCCTATTATCCCCGAAGGGGTGCACACAGAAGTAACACCCATTTTTCACTATTTATGTTATGAGTCCCCAATGAGCCTATGCCATATGCCGAGCACAATTCCAGACTCCGTGCTACTACTGAGATTTAAAAAAAAAACCAGTAATACTTTGCCCGATTCGAAATCGAAATCCACTCGGCCAACGAGGCAGTAAAAAATATGCTGCAGTAAATTTTCTAACTTAATTTAACTTTTGTTCACAGGCAGAGGAAGCATATTCAGAGAGCAAGGTGCGAGTCATCACAGTGTGCCTCGGACCGACAGACACAGCCATTTTGAATAGGAGTAACTTGGACAACTTCGACAAAGACCAGCCAATCGCGTCACGAGTAGATGTCAGACAGAAGTAAGTATGATTAGGATGCGTTTATAGTGTGAAGGGAAGCTATTTATACACGTAATGCTAGCAGACATGGATGTCATAAATATGTTATATCAATCCAATAGTATAATAATTAAGACAGTAGCGCCGTGAAACAGGGCACCTAAAAACAAAGTAATGACAACATGGCAATAGGGTAGATGCCTAATTTTTATTTTAATGTCCGTTTGAGCGTTTGGAGGAGGGTTGTGCATCAAGTGACGCGCGCACCAGGCTAGACACGACCTTCAGTAATGAAGAAGACGACTAGGAAGAAGAAGAAGAAGAAGTCCGTCTGATAGATTATTTCAAATCATTAGACACGTATTTTTTATTTTCTTACAGAAACGAATACTTTCGACGATATATTGATTTGAAATGTCACGTGACGTCACTTCTATGTACATTTTATACGTAGAAATGACGTTTTAGCCCCCATTCGTAAACTTTAATTCGTTTTATCTAAGTATTGTGTTATTATACGACAAAATAAAAAAATACGTGTCTAATATTTTTTCATTACCTAACTTACGGACTAATTAGATTTTTAATTTTCATATCCTGCCATCATCCCAATTCCTTGCCAAAGATACTAGCCAAAATAATAAGTTAATAATTAAGCAAAAATAGTACTATTTTCTGTACACTATCTTAACCTGTCAAAAATACAACTAGAAAAAAAAAGAAATATTTTCGCTCAAAAGGCATAGTACCTAGAACCATCGCGTGTAGCATGTAGTGTATCGCAATACGTTCTTCTTACACAAGTGACCGTATTTGCGCGATCAAGATGAAGTTTGTGTTAATGAAGATAGTTTGGTAGCAACGAGTTTCATACTAAAATTGAACAGTAAAAGTTTTGCTTTGAGAAAACGTGCGCGAATTTTTAGATAAGTTCCCAGTTAGGGCGATAACTTTTTGGATTTTGTAGACCTTTTTAGTAAATTCTATTGAAGTTTCTAAGCCAATTAACAAGTCCTTTTGTGACACTGTTGGATCCTTGCTCAATTTTAGTAGATAGATTAGAAGAATGGTGGTGGAAAGTAGATGTTACATTGAATATGAACAGTAAATCTGTCTATTACTGATTTCTTATAGGCATGATTTTATGATTATGTATTTGGGATAGAAGACATTTTGAATGCCGATCATAATAATTACCTTCTCAAGATGAATGTTGCTTTAAGTTTTGTCAGTTTTTAATTAATTAATTTATTTATACTTTAATTGTACTCAAATGAGTACAATGGGCGGTCTTATCACACGCTGTGATATCTTCCAGACAACCTTTGGATGGAATGTTTGAAAAGATGATGGAGTTTTTTAATACTTAAATACAAGTTATTTAGGTAAAAAATAATTGGAAAGGTACACAATATTCATTCAGTAGGTACTGGTCTAAAAGATATATTTCAATAATAGAATAACAAAACATAACATCACGCCTTTTCATCCCCGAAGGGGTAGGCAGAGGTGCACATTTCGGCACTTAATGCCACTGTACAATGTAACACCAACTTTTCCCTATTTATGTTATGAGTCCCATGTAATAGAGGGTGAGCCTATTGCCATAAACCAGGCACATTTCCAGACTCCGTGACTACTGACTACTGAGATTTTTAAAAACCCAGTACCTAATACTTTATCCGACCTGGGAATCGAACCCGAGACCCGGCAGACGCATTTGCGACCACTCGGCCAACGAGGCAGAATAGAATAGTGAAAGACAAAGTTCTCAGGTTGTCTGCAACATTATCTTCATTTTGTATTAAGTTGTGGTCTGTGGTTCAGTTCGTAACTGTCACAAAAACTTTCGCAAAGTTTAATTTTAAACCGTTTGTATTGAAATTTTAGGTAAAGTCTTAGCGAACCCTTTTACAGTTCGAATAAATAAATAAACCAACCATGGTTTGTGGTAAATAAAGATATTAATAATTTGAAAAGAAAAAAAATAAATGGCGTCATAATAGGGTATATGCCTAATTTTTATTTTAATGTCCGTCTGGTAGATTATTTTAAATCATTAGACACGTATTTTTTATTTTATACGTTTTAGCCCCCCTTTGATTTATGAACTGAACTAATTTAACGGCCTTTGGCGCTGCGATGCACCATGGGCTTTTTGTGTGACCTGTATACGTACACTTGTTGTGTGTAATGGAGTAATAAATGGTTTTATCTTTCTTCTTCTCTTTCTTTCATTCTTTCTCTAATCAGTTAATAGCACTTTAGCCATTTAACATAGGCATTTCTTTTTTAATTCTTCTTTTTAATTTTTTTTACTCATTGTTTATTTTACTTTCACTGCCACATATCTTTTTTTATCTTTTTTATATTTTATTTATGATATACTAGCTTTTACTCGCGGCTTCGCTCACGTCACAAAAGGATAAAAAGCCAATGTGAGATATACCAATACACACAGCGCCATCTATACCAATACTTTTGTTTTCCCTCGGGAATATCAAATTTTTCCGGGACAAAAAGTACCCTATTATTTAATCCGGACTTCTGAATATACATCTGCAAAAATTCAAAGCAATCAGATTAGTAGTTGTGACGTGAAAGCGGAACAAACAAACTCACTTTCCGATTTATAATATTATAGTAAAGATTGTCTTTCTTTTTTTATAATAAGCTTCTCCTTTGTTCTAGGGTTGAATCAGCAGTATCAGGCATACTGAAAGTATTAGAAGAAGGGAAAAGTGGTTCCACGTGGATTGTAAAGAACGACCAGATAGCGTACGACTACACAGAAACATTAAATAAAGCATTTTCAGTTTTATCAGATACATAAATACTTTCGAATTTAAGACTTACTGTAATTATGATAAGATTAAAAATTGATTATACTTGCAATGTTCTCTATCGTCATTTTTGTTCATGCCATTCATGCCAATATCACTTTCGTATTTGCTACAATTTTAGGAACCTACAATTACGTAATAATATACATACATATACATAATAATAGTGCGTAAGTTAATGTACCATTTTATGTTAAACCTTAATTTTTTAATATTTCAACGTACGTTGTTTCCTTTGATTACAAATTTAATAAATAAAATTATTATTTATTTTACCTTACTGGTTATTTTGTTTTCCAAATTGGTTTGAATTAATGAACGTTCCATTTTTAATTCTATATTCTTGCTTTTCATAAAGAAATAATGTAGAATTAAAAAATAATCCTCAAAATCATAAAACATTTACCAACTATATCTCCCCTACGATCCTCAAACTCCTAATCCCCAAAAAGCCGGTAACGCACTAGTAACACCTCTGCTGTTCCAGGTGTCAATGGGCGATGCCGATTGCTTACCATCAGGTGATCCGTCTGCTCGTTTACCGGCTTATACCATAAAATAATAAAACAAAAGCACGTTTATCATCAAGAATGGAAAAGTAAAAAATATTTTTCTACCGATATTTTGTCGTTCAGTCGCGTGAACACTGAACGATCTCTCATCAATGCATGTAATCACAACACATCAACCTATACAAAGCCAGATTATTATAGCCTCACTTTGTATGGTCCTTCCGTACATTCAACGGTCAGTTTATATTGGTTTGGTATAGTTTGATATGGTATACCTTCGGATTACCACACTGTTCTACATTCATGTTTTTTATTTTAACCTGTCATTTTGTTTTGTTGGTTTTTGTTTTCTTGTTTTTATGTGTTTTATGTATGTAGAGGTGTATTGTTTGCATGTATGTAGAGGTAGGTAGGTATAGTGTTCGAAATGCTTTAGAATTTGCGAATGAATTATATCCCATGACAGTGGTACAAGGAGGAATATGAGTGGTAATTTTTATTATTCTGTGATGTCTTAGATATAAATATTAGTAGGCGAACTTATATAATTGGTACTTACCAACTAGTCAAATTCAATACGTTTTTCAACTGTCAAAAACGAGAGTTTTCTATGAATTTTGTACGAGATTGTGTATTGTGACGTCACGTTTTTTTAGCATCAAACAACATACCTACTTGTTTCTTAAAAATTTGCTGTAGTAATACTAAAATTAAGTTGGTCATAAAATCAATTAATGAAAGTGTGATTATTTTTTTAATATTTTGTTGTATTGAACAGTGCAAATATTTAATTTTTGATTAAGACAAGTACCCAATTATATCCAAACATACTTGATTAAGTGCGCACTACGTACATCGCACTCTATAACGTCACCAAGCAACTTGCAATGGAACTATGCACTTCAAATATTACCTAACTTATCTCACTCTGGAATCCATATCCTAGGAATCTAGATCCTGGTATTTGGAACGAGCAAGAAACGCAATCAAGGGACTAATTTACTATGTGTTCGTACCAGACAGTTGTAACTTGGCAAAGTGAGCAGTCGAAATGCAGACTGTGTCACTGCATTCTCTCCACGGATTTAACTAATTTATGCTTCGGATTTACCGCTAATCCACACTTAAGTATTCCTGCTTTATTCCTCCTCCATTCCCGCTCCGTAGCCCTACTTTGTAACATGAATAATGTTAGCAAAAAGTTTACCGAAGATGGATTTTTTCAAACTTCACCGAAGCGTACAATCTTCGCAAATGATACGGACTCCGTGTTCGAACTTCTCGTTCGAGTTCGAATTTACTTTTGCAAGTTCAGCTAGCTCACAGTTTGTATGTCTAAATGTTACGATTTTAGTACACAATCATATTTACTTGTTTCCTTTGTTTGTATTCAGAGAACGGAGGTAATATAGAATTGTCTGGATAACTTTACTCCAGCTGGAAGTTACAACGTTTGAAATTGGATTCATGCACCATGCTTGCTACACTGGGAAATCTCGCGTTACTTCTACGTTATGCGAAAAATGTCTGCAATAAATATTCTATGTTGGATTATGTAGATTTATATAAGCTATGTCACATGCCAAGCAGTTCAGGTGAACATGTTTAGAATCCGCGAGCACAGCTCAGGTTACACACGGTAACCTGACGTTGAAATATTATTTTGCATGAAATTACTATGAACTCCGACTTTGATAGAAAAGGATTTACAAAAACCCTTTTAAAAGCTAACTACATTAAATTAAAAATCGAATCTCCACGACAAAAACAAAATAACATCAACACAGAAACAAATTTACAAGATACGCTATACAAAATTAAGGAACAGACCAATTAAACGAGCTACAAAACCCGAACAGTCACAAGTGAAGGGGAATCAATTTATAACTAAGCCACTGGTATCTGCGGAGGTCCATTAGAACTGGCTCTTCTAGTAACCGGGACCCGTAATTATTAATTCAGTGGCGTTAAGTCGAAGCACATCAAATCGGCACGGATCGCTTCTGAATGTTTGCCAAATCCGAACCCTGCAGTGTTTAACTATTCACTGGTATGTTTCAACGGATCCGAATTAGAGCACTGATTCTGCATAAACGTGAGCTGCTTGTTTGTTTGTTCTGTTGGCTTTCTTTAGGTAGTAATAATAATAATAATAATAATAATCTTTATTGTACACCTTAAATTAATAGAATATACATGTAATGTTATAATAAAGAATAGTAGGGTACAAAGGCGGCCTTATCACTAAAAGCGATCTCTACCAGGCAACCTTTGGGTGAATGGAGTACTATTGTATGAAAGTGGAGGTTGTTCTAGGTGTACTCAGGTATCTACTTATAAATTATATATACAAGTAAAATATATATTCTCTAAATAAAATAATATATATTTACATACAACATATATAATATATACCTAAAACTATATATATACATGCATAAATACATACATAAAATATAGTATGAACAATGAATAGACAACAGTAAAGAAAAAACAAAGAGAGAAAAGAAGTAGTAATGGTAAATTACAACGTGGAGAGATAATGCTTTTTCACGAGTGCTTTGAATGCAACAAGTGACTCTGCTTGTCTTATAGAAAGTGGCAGAGCATTCCACAGTCGAACAGCTCGAACTGTAAAAGATCTGTCAAATGATCTGCTCGCATGCTGAGGCATTTCAAGCTTCATGTCCTCCGATGACCGTACTGGTCTAGAATGTGTGTCATGGAAGAACTGGAAACGTTCTTTGAGATAATGAGGGGTAGAAGGATTGAACAGCGTACTGTAGAGTAAAGATAAGATATGAGTATCCCGGCGAAGGCGGATCGGCAGCCACTTAAGCTTAGCACGATATTCGGAAATGTGGTCATATTTGCGTAAACCAAATATAAACCTTATACTGAAATTTTGGAGTCGCTCAAGTTTGTCCAACTGCACTTCGGTGAGATCCGGATACTGTAGTATTTGTTTTTTAATTAGTTTCTCTTCGTTGATATTTGCATTTAGTGGTGCGGATTTACATAGGAACCTATCTAGTTAATGAATTGCAAGTTGTATTTATTTTGAAATGAGCCACCATTTTTACTTGTCGATTTCCACAAACAAATTTGATTGAAAATGATTCAGATATTGACTATAGTTTTTATTTTTAATCAATATTAAATCAATGATGCGTATTTCGGATCTAATAATTATTATTTTAAAAATTATAATTTTTAAAATTAGGGAAGAAAACGTAAACAAAATCTCCATGATCTTTTACTCATTTCGCTCAAAGCTGATCGCTTTTATAACTTATTTTGACATCAAAATTACAAATCACGTATCGCCATAAAGTCCTTGGGGCCCAAAAAAATAAAATTAAACATTCAATTTGCGTTCTCAACTTGAAGAACAGTTTACATCTTAAAAATGAATATGTAAAATTAGAGCCACATTGATATTCGATCTTATGGACGGAGGGCCTATTTTTGCGGGCGACGGACCCGAAAATTTTGTAAAATTATGTCTTGGGAACTGAAGGGACTTTGTGCCGCATGCTGTAATTTGATACTTTTCATGTACTATGGAAATGAGGTACATCGATAAAGTATATTTGCTGATATTATTATTTTAAGACATGTATTGCAAATGAAATAAAGTATTGGTTGCGAAGTGACGTTGTGTTTTTTAATAAATTTTTTTCAAACTCAAATTCCATTTATTATTAAAAATTACCGATCGATTTTAAAATAAGCACTGAAACCAACAAATCAAAGATTCATCATCAACAGCCTATAAATGCCCACTGCTGAGCAAAGCCTCTTCTCACTCGGAGAAATTTTGAGCATTAATCACCACGCTTGCTCTATGCGGGTTGGCAATTTCAAATTTATAATATGAAATTATAAGCCCAGGTTTCCTCACCATGTTTTCCTTCACCGTTTGTCAGTGGTGTCTAGATAATCTTAGAAAGTAACTCGAAAAAAGTCATATAGTATTTGCCGTTGGTAGGTTTCGAGCCAGTACCCTCATGCATGAGAAGCGGGCGTCTTAAACCTCCGGGCCACCACGACAAACCACAGATTACAAAAATGTAATCAATTTTCAAAATCCTTTTTTTTTAAGCTAGGTTTTAGCAATCTATATCAGCGTAATTTGAAACGTGTCTAACTAATTTTACGCCCAACTTGGAGACTGATAAAAAGAAAGTAACTTGGTTAGGGAATATTTTTCAAAAAATGGTTTCCCCTTGCTTACTCCAATAAGGGCAGGGTACTTAAGAGCCTATACAAAGTTTCTCCTTGCGAAGCGTTCGCCAATCACATGAAACTTTTGACTGATCTCAAAGGCGAATGAAAAAAAAAAACGAGTAATGAGGAACTCTCCAAACCCGTTTTTTGTTTTTCATCTCAAATTATTTTGCAACGAGTTGAATTACTTTGAAATAGGAGCATCACATCATTTCTTTGTTATATTTTACGACGACATTGTTGACTTG